GGAGGCAGGCCCTGGGGGGAAGGAGCGGAGGAGAGAATCTGGAGGCCCCAGGAGGAAGCCAGCCAGCCTGAGACATTTATAACCCTGTCTGGCTCCTAAGACCTGTAACTCCTCTCTTGTAAATCAAAATTAGGTCATTTTTATTTATTGATTTTTTTATTGTTGGGGAATCATTGGGGGCACAGAGAAATTAGGTAATTTTTAAAAAGAAATCATTACACGAACTAAAGAAAATAAAATTCCAGGGCCCTTTAAATTTATTATCCCCAGAAAGTCAAGCCCTGGAGACTGGAGTGTGGCGCGTTTTCAGCTCATTTTCTTTGATGACAGATTAGCTCTCTCCCTCATTGTTCTGGGAATGACTGGGGGAGACCAGAGACCAATTACTGATCATTTTTGTAAATTAGCTGCGGGCTATGTGTATATTATCCTGTACCTAACTCAGACCAGATGGCACCCAAGCCCCCAGACTGTTACTATTCAATGTTGAATATACCCTTTCCTGAAAGAAAAAAGAAAAAGACCACCTGGACTGATCAGATCACTGTAGCTACGTACATACATGTGTTGCCTTACAAGGAAAGATGTTGAAATTCTGTTAAGCCTCCCTAAACATTGTCTATATAAGCAATCTGCTGCACTTTGGGAACACACTGACTTCATCCTCTGTACTTGAATAAACTCCCTTTAAACTAGATTGTGACTTCTGATTATTTTAGGTTGACACGCATTTCATACTAACTCCCCCTCTTCTGTATTTTGTCTGGTCATCTGACCAAGATTATGATAACAGCTTTAATTGGCTGCAAAAACACGTCCCTTATAAGGTACCCAAATTAGGACCGTCCCAGAAAAGGGCATCCTAGGAAATAGACAAGCCAACACACCCTAGTGGACACAACTCTTATCCTCCCCACTGCAGCCTCCGGTATACCGGCCGGTGCCCTGCTCCTTGAGCCACAGGTGCCACCCATATATGGAATGTTGGTATTCCCACCAAATTTATATGTTGAAATGCTATCGCCCCATGAGGTGGTATTAGAAAGTGGGAGGGTCTCCACCCATAAAGGTGGAGGCTCCATGAATGGGATTAGTGCCATAAGAAGAGATACCTTCCTTCCTTGTCTGTAGTCAAGTAAGAGGGCAATCACCAAGAACCCTATCCCCTTGGCATCCTGATCTTATCCTCCCAATCTCTAGAACTAAGAAATAAATGTTTATTATTTAAAGCATTTAGTCTATGGTGTTCTTGTTATAGCAGCCAAAACAGAGTGAGACATTATTATCCTATCTGAGATATGCTAATTTTCTTTCTAAAGAGTACATCAGAGTGGAGAAAGTAGGCTGATTTCTAGAAGAATCTTGAGCTGGTGGACCATGTTGTCACCCCAATAGTAGGCCTAAATTTGCTTTTTTACTTACTTTTTATTATGAAAAGTACAAATGTATAAAAAAGTAAAAAGAATACAATAAATTCCCATATAACCCAGACCTAGATATAATTATTGTTAATATGTTGCAAAACTTCATCAATGTTTTTGTGAAGTAAAGAAATCATAAAAACGTGGTATTTCACCCCTTAATAATTTTGTGGCAGACTTGTCAAATCCCAGTCTAAAACATCTACAATTGAATTATTTTTTCCAGGGTGGTGCCTGTGGCTCAATAGGTAGTACCTGGCCCCAGCCAAACTGCAACAAAAAAATAGCCGGGCGTTGGGTGGGTGCCTATAGTCCCAGCTACTCAGGAGGCAAAAGAATCGCCAAAGCCCAGGAGTTGGAGGTTGCTATGAGCTGGGTGACACCAATGCTCTACCCAGGGCGATAAAGTGAGACTCTGTCTCTATTAAAAAAAAAAAAATTATTTTTCTGGCCTAGGATTTCTCCAAATTAATGGGTATATATTTTGTTAGCATCTGAATAATTAAAATAAGTCATCA